CACTGCAGGCTCAAGTGATGCGCTAATCCTGGGGAGCTGTAACCTAGTCCTAGGAAGACTCAGTTACCCGATAAGGCTTCGTTCATACTTTGCGGCAACGTCCGCCAGCGACCAATAGCGTCCATCAGTGTTCCGAGCGTCTGTAGCGTCAGCGACTCGGGAAGTAGTAGAGATCTGGAGTCTGCCAGCCTCTACCAGCGTCCACAGCGTCTCGAGGGCTAGGGAAGTATAGGTATCGATCTAGCGTCTGCCAGCGTCTACCAGCGTCCGGGAGAGAGAGCATGGCGCGATAGGAGGTAGCAGGCAGCTGGTGCCCTCATATCGCGCTATACTCTACCAGCAGTCTGCTACGCTCCTATCTCCCCATACTGTCTTCTGGAGGCTGGTAGGCGCTGGCAGATGCTGGCAGATGCTATTAGGTTGTTCGAAAAGTCCTGCGACACTTTGATTGAATTGTTCTAGAAAAAGACCAAAAATCATTTTGGATGTTTTTATCCCTGATTAGTGGAGACTGTCCTCTGGGGTTTCTGCACATGGGTATATCATGACTTTGTGGAAGTTTTCAAAGCTTAAAAGTCCCTCAGAGATCGAGGTACTTTTCGACCTATCCCATATTATGAGTTCCTGTAGGGCCACTCCGCCGTAGTCGAGGAAGCTAACACTTACGTTGTCTTGAGGAAGGATATCGCTTGCCATGGCAGAGGGTAGCTTTTGCATCAGCGCTTCCAGGCTGGACTTATTTAACTCGTAGTTAGGCAATGTATAGGTCGCCCACCAGCACAGAATGACGGCCCTTTACTCAAGCTTCTTGAGGCGCAGCCGAAGGTAACCACCAGTAAGTTGGCAACCTCTCTAGGCTCCACCTGACTGACAACTGCCATGCTTCTCCGCAATCTCGGTTATCGGAAAAATTTTTTGTGAAGGATGCCTCATGAGTTGGACCCGTCTGACAAGTCATACCGAATGACTGAGTTTTCTTTTCCTTGTACACAGCGAAAGAACTTTTGTGAGATCTTGTGGTTGGTAGCGAGTGTTGGAGTCCTTGCGTACATCATGCACATGTCCCTCGCAGGATCTCTCAAACAGAAAAGTAGATTGCTTAGCCAAAGAGATGGGATAAAGATTTCAGTGTGTTATTGGTGGGACTTCAAAGCGGTATCACTGGACCGTTGTAAGGACCACAGTCCAAATTAATCGACTTAAAAATATGGACGAATTCATTCAGAAATACTCAATTTTTCTCTACTACTCGGCAATGCGAAGACCGCATGTGGGGATCAGGCTACGCCAAAAGATCATGGATTTCGATCAGAGAATGCGACCGTACTCAGGTTATTTAACAAAGTTAGCAGCCTCTAATTACCACCTCCTTTGGTCACCTTCAAAAAGCAAAAGTTCCGAAAATCAACCTCAACTCGAGAATGAGGTCCACCTCTTCTTTTTACCACAGTTGCCGTAGTTCTATGAGAATGGAAATGAGAAGCTGTGCAAAAGAAGGGCACTAGTCCTAGTCATCAACTGCGGTTACCTTGTAGATTGGAGATGTCTTTTAGTGACGGAAAATTTAGTCCGAAAAATTTGGTCAAAGTGTCGCATTACTTTTCGAACAACCTAATATTATATATGATCAGGTTGTCATTGAATAACATTATTCCCGCTATGGCCAGAATGATGGCACTCCACCAACCTAGCTTCAAATGACGTCTAACCAGA